AGCTCCCCCCCACCCCCCGCTTATGCTTCCTGACTTCCGCAAGTCTTTCCTCCTGTTTACCAAGGAAAAAACTGGGACGGCGACCGGAGTTCTGGCCCAACCAGTGGGACCCTCTCACCAACCGCTCGCCTTAACCACCTGGGAATCCTTTCTGTCCTTAACAAAACCCATACCCTGCTTAACCTTACTAACCCTGCCTTAACAAAGGACTGCTGACTATGCCTCAGGTCTGGCCAATCCTGGTCTCTCCTGTCCCGGTCACAGGAAATTGGACTCTCCCTATGCCTCCAACCCAATGTCCACCTTCACTACCGCGTTCTAATATCCCTCTCCTACCTAACTTGCCCGCAGCCCAGTGTATAACATGAAACAGCACCCTGGGAGTCGGATGGACTCCCCTCTACCTCTGCTCACGATCACTCATGGTCCAATCAAATAACACCCTCTGCCCCCCACTTAAGGGGACTGCCTTTCTATGCGACACTACCATCTACCCAGTCCTGCCCCCCAACTGGTCAGGGTCCTGCATTCTTGTCATCCTCCTCCCCACTGTTATAACACCCAGTAATTAAAGCTTGCCTGTCCCCTTGGTAGGTTCCTCAACGTCGTGGGTAAGGCGGGCAATTCAGCTCATACCTCTGCTGGCGGGACTGGGTATTACCGCGACCATGGAAACGGGGCAGCAGGGCTGGGATCCTCACTTCACTTTTACAAACAGCTCTCCTCCCAACTGACCGAAGACATACAACAGGTGGCGGACACGGTTCTAGACTTACAAACACAACTAGATTCCCTGGCTGATATAGTCCCCCCAAATCGACAGGGACTAGACCTGCTTACAGCAAAAGAGGGGGAAATATGCTTATTTCTTAGGAAAAAATGCTGCTTCGATGCCAATAAATCAGGGAAAGTCAAGGACAGAATTAAACAATTACAAAAAAAAACCCCCCAAAACGGAGAGAAGACCTAACCAGAGGCCCACTCTCAGGATGGTGGCAACCCCAACTCCTAACGTGGCTTCTCCCTGTTCTAACTCCACTAATTGTCATATTTATCCTCTTGTCGATGGTCCCGTGTGTTTTTAGGTTTCTCCAACAGCGCTTGGCAGAGCTCTCTCGAATAACGGTCAACCAACTACTGTTACATTCATACTCGCCCCTTCCGTCCAAACCACTTCCGGCCCCATACCAGCCTTAAAACCCCTGCATGCTACCCCTCCCCAGCAGAAAATAGCTAGAATGAGCCGGCACCCCTATGACCAAAAGGCTACAGACCTCTAACCTTGTCTTCTCATTTCAGACATGCTTGCCTTAAAGTTTACCCCTACTACCTACCACTCAGATTCTCAGCGTCTCTTAACCACCTTCTTTGTGACAGTTGGCTCCTCCCTTTCCTGTGTCCAGTCGACGACTGGCCAGACCAGCTTGCTGTTTTCTACTTACAAGGCACCTTCCAGGACTTCCACTCAAATGAAATTTTTTCTTTTGGCGCCTACTTGTGGGGTCTCATGTGGCTTGGCCTTTCACCCACCTCACCCACCGATGCCCACTGTCATCAGGAAGTAGCCGACAGACAAACGCTGCCCCTCTCCCATATAACCAAAGAGGTGGGAATGAAGGGCCACCGCCAGCCACAAGTAGAACCACATCCCCTCCCTTTCCTGGAAAGGGGCCTAAACCCGGCCCCCCCGCCTAAAATGGCGACCCGGCAAATAAAGGGGGCATCTGAAACGGCACCTTCTGGGTTCTTCCACAGTCCTGCTCACCTTTTCCTGTGCCCGTGAAAAACCCACCAACCTGGATGGAGCTCTGGCAGCCACAGGTCGCCCTAAGCCTCTATAAAAGCCGCTGCGCCCTTGCCTCGGGGCTACAACCTGACTCTCAGGTCCTATAGCCACTGCATTCGACCCATTAAATCTCTTGGCCTTAACGGGTGTTGAGTCTCACTGTGCGCCACCATCTTTCATGAGGTCTCACTACGTTGCCCAGGCTGGTCTCAAACTCCTGGGCTCCAGCCATCCTCTTGCATCAGACTCTCACAGTGCTGACATTACAGGCATGAACCAATGCACCTGATCTATTTTTCTACTTTCTCAACCATATTAATCATTATTTTAAAGTCACCGCTTGTTAATTCCAATATCTGTATGATTTGCAGGTATGTTTATTTTCTCTAGCATTTTCACTTATTTACTTTTATTATTATTTTTTTTAGTTGGAGTCTCACTCCATCGTCCAGGCTGGAGTGCAGTGGTACGCTTATAGCCACCCCAGTGTCAACCTGCTGGGCTCAGGGGATCATTCTGCCTCAGCCTTCCAACTAACCGGAACCATAGAAGTGTGTTACTACACCTGGCTAATGTTTTGATTTTTATGGTAGGGATGAGACCTCACCAAGTTGCCCAGGCTATTCTTGAACCCTGGGCTCAGGCAAGCCTCTCATCTCAGCCTCCCAAAGTGCTGGGATTACAGGCTTGAGCCACCGCACCTGGCCTATTTATTTATTTTTTAAGAGAGAGTCTTGCTCCATCACTCAGGCTGGAGTGCAGTGGCGCAGTCATAGCTCACTGCAGCCCTGAACTCCTGGGCTCAACCTCTTGAGTAGCTAGGATTATTGGTGCATGCTACCATGCTTTAAAAAAATTTTTTTCATAGAGATGAAGTCTCACTTTGTTGCCCAGGCTGGTGTCAAACTCCTGGCTTCAAGAGATTTTCCAGCTTTGGTCTCCCAAGTGCTGGGAGTACAGGCGTGAGACACCATGCTTGAACTCTCTGGGCTTTTCACCCTCATATTTAGTCATATGATTCTGACTTTTGATGTGCTTATTGTATACAGAAAGAAAGACAGTACACGTAAAACACTGTAAAGGATACATATGGTATCTTCCAGAAAGGGGTCTTCTTTTCCTCTGCTAGGTATTTAAACTGAGCACCTTAATTGATCAGGAACAGAGATTAATGTAGGCCAGATTTCAGTTTGAGGAAAGTTTCATCTTCCTTTAATTCACCTGCACTCAAGATGCAACCCTCCTTTTAACTCAGATCTTGGGATGTCCACTGGTACTTTCTCTCCTTGATGGTTCCTGAACATTAATACTTATCTCCTTAGCTTGGCACGACTTAATGAGAAATGGTTTTAAGTCAATATTATTAAAGAAAATTTATATTCAGTGTTAAGAATTATTATGTAAGTCAGTCACAAAAATAATGTACCTTTTTATTCAGCAATTTCAAAATATATGTCATGCATCATTCCAGAAGGTGGCAAACTATGGCTGGCAGGCCAAATCTGTCCATTGCTTGTTTTTTTTGTTTTGTTTTGTTTTTTTTGAGTCGGAGTCTCACTCTGTCGCCCAGACTGGAGTGCAGTGGCTACTCCCAGTCACCGCAGCCTCGACCTGCTGGGCTCCAGCAATCCTTCTGCCTCAGCCTTCCGAGTAGCCGGACTTACAGGCATGTGCTACCATGCCCAGCTGATTTTTTGATTTATTGTAGAGATGAGGTCTCGCTGCCCAGGCGGGTCTCGAACCTGCAGGCTCAGGCAATCCACTCACCTCAGCCTCCCAAAGGCGCAGGATTACAGGCTGAGTATAGTAAAAATTATTTTGGAATACAGCCATGCTCACTCACTCACTTATAGCCTATGGTTGTTTTGCACTGTGATTACAGAGACCGTATTACCTACGAAGCCCAAAATATTTACTACCAAGTCCTTGACATAAAAAGTTGGCTGACCCCTGATCTATTCTAAACAAAGTAACCATTAAAAGCATTCTGTCACTTAGTAGCAAAGAGTTTCTCCCAAGCTCTTTAGGTCTGGATATATTAGGTCATAATCCAATTACCAACAGGTCCAAACATTTAATAATCCACATATCCTCCCCAATTACCACACATTCATGAAAACACATGCAAAATAATTAAGGATTACACCTAAGAGATAGGAATGGGCAAAAATGTACCCATGCTAGCAATTTAAAAAACCCTATTCACCAAAGGGTGCAAGACTGAGAATGGGAAAAAGTTCTCTCTCAAGGGATAAGCAGGCTTCCAAACAGAAAATCAAGTTCATAGACCAACAGTGGGAGGCCATAAATGAATTCAGGGAAGCCAGGAATTAGATCAAGTGAGAAACAGAGCACCCAAGTATCACTGTCAAGGAGGAAGATTATAACAAGAAGGAATTATAGAGAACTAGAAGCAGAAACAGAAGTGGACAGACAGCTGGCTAAGGAATTCTAGGAGACAAATGACCCAAATTACCTTTGAGAGTCTAAGTTTAGTGACATTTTAGAATCCATAAAGCTTCTCACTCCAATGCTTTAATTTTCAAAGAGACTGGATTTGCTCCAATTTCAGCTATCTACCTCTCCTCACATAATCTAATACATACACAATCATTCTTCTGTCTCTCTGTAACACATCTTTGAGCCAACAAACTGGCAGAGGGAGGTAAAAAAAGACAACTCACAAAATATATAACTTTAGTAGTATGCATTGGCCTAAATTATAATACATATATAAATGATTACAGTGCAATGTGATACCACTCTATCACCATGAGAACATGAGCTATGTGCAGCTTGAGTCTAGTAACAGGGCTCAGGACACGGCAGATACTAGAAAATAAATGAAGTCACATAAGCAGTGATGTGAAACAGCAGTTTCAGTAGTATTACAGTCAGAAATCAGTGCTTACATTGCCATTAGTTCTCAGGTTGTCAGGTTTTTTCCTTTTGCTTGTCCTCAATCTAGTAAAATTCTTATATTTAAAAGAAAAACTTCAAACTGCCAAATATCTCAGTTGGTTGCCAGAACAGATAAAAAGAAGAAACCAACAACTTAATATTTTATTTATATTTGGAAGTATTTATAACAAAGCTAACAAATTTAATCAAGATTTTCTCTAGCTGAAATATGTTCTAAGGCTGACATAATGTGTTATATATAAAATAGAGTTCGAATATCTTATAATCTAATACATATCAAAACAGGTCTTACTTGTTTTTTTAAGGTATCATTCAATTCCTTCAGTGCATCAAAAGAGGATCTCAGTCTCTTGCTTTCTTTATTCTTTTCCTTAAGAACTTCAGTTAAGTGTTCAACTTCTGCATCATGTTGCTAGGAGGGAAAAAAATCTGATCTAAAAATTAGGTAAGGATTGCATATCACCAATGCTTCTGAACATGAATTCATTAGAAATAAGAATTCCTTCAATCAAAAAACTTTAATCAGTGTATTTAAACAGGGGTGACTATTGTGGCAATTTATAAAAATTATGCAATGTACCAAAGTAACAACAAAACATCAAAAGTATTTGTTAAATACCTATTAAAACATATTATCATATAAATTAAGTAGCAATGAGTCTATTTCCTGCTTCTGCTCAGAAAAATCCATTAACAGACACTTACAGATATATTTTAACTTGACATCACATAATAATAAAACAATGAAGGATTTTTAAAATCATTTTCAAGAGACTAATAAGTTATTCACAGCTTTACAGATTAAAATGTAAAGTTTATATTACCCTTGAGGAATATAAGAAATATTCTATAGAAGAAACGAATATCTTGTTCTCATAAAGTAGCTAAAAATTTTGCCGGGCTCGGTGGCTCAGCCTGTAATCCCACGCCTTTGGGAGGCTGAGGTGAGTGGATTGCCTGAGCCCGTGGGTTCGAGACCCGCCTGGGCAGCGAGACCTCATCTCGACAATAAATCAAAAAATCAGCCGGGCACGGTAGTGCATGCCTGTAGTTCCAGCTACTTGGAAGGCTGAGGAGGAAGGATCGCCGGAGCCCAGCAGGTCAAGGCTGCGGTGGCCGGGAGCGGCCACGGCACTCCAGTCTGGGCGACAGAGTGAGACTCCAACTCAAAAAAATAACAAATAAAAATAAATAAATAAAATTTTTGATGCCAGCTTTTCAATGTTAACAATGTTCAATACTTAATAAAAATTATCTGAGGCCCAAACTAGTTGACTCTCCTTAATCAGTTCTATAAATGATTCATATCAGCTTCCCCTCTAATTACATGTAAGAGGGATAGCATGCTTTAAATTTAAAATGTGAATACTGGGGCTGAGCATGTCGGCTCATGCCTGTAATCCCAGCACTTCAGGAGGCAGAGGCAGCAGGATCACCTGAGGCTAACAGTTTAAGCCTGGGAAACATAGTGAGAACCTCACCTCTATAAAAAAAAAATTAAAAATTAGTCAGGCACAGTGTCTATATGTCCTAAATACTCAGGAGGCTGAAGTGGGAGGACTGCTTGAGTCCAGGAAGCTGAGGCTGCAGTGAGCTATGATCATGCCACTGCACTCCAGCCTGGGAGACAGAGCGAGCAAAGCTAGATCCTGCCTCTTAAAAAAAACAAAACACTCACGACCCACCTGGGTCTCTTGGTGAGACCTCATCTCTACAAGAAATCAAAAAAATTAGCCAGGTGTGGTAGCATGCACCTGTAGTTCCAGCTACTTGGAAGGCTGAGGCGGAAGGATCGCTGGAGCCCAGCAGGTCGAGGCTGTGGTGGCCAGGAGCGGCCACTGCACTCCAGTCTGGGCGACAGAGTGAGACTCCAACTCAAAAAAAACCCAAAGCACAAAAACACATTGAGCCAGGCATGGAGACTCATGCCTGTAATCCCAGCACTATGAGAGACTGAGGCAAGAGGACTGCCTGAGACTAGGAGTTCAAGACCAGCCTGGGGAACAAGGCAAAACCTCATCTCTATTAAAAAAAAAATGAATACTTAGTGTCTTTCCTCTTCTACTCTCAATTTATTCATAATGTATTAAAACAAACAAGTTTCTATAGAAAAAATCAAGCTGATTTAATTTCCTTCTAAGTAATCATATAAATACGATGAAAATAAAGCAGTTATCTTTATAGTTAATAAAATCTAAAGAGAGAATCAAGAACAAGACTAGCATGAAGCAATCTGACAACCTAAGCGTTCCTTCATTAACCCTGAGAAGAAGTCCAACAATCTAAAAAGGTGAGCTTTATATAATTTATGACTATGTTAAATAATTTCTTAAATTAGGATATAGTCACAAATAGTTATTTTAAAAACTAGCTTAATATTTTCATTGTCCAATTTTTTTCCACACCTAAAAGACATTAAAAACATGTAATACAAGTTCTGTTTCTGGCACAACAGGATAAGCCTACAGTAAGTTCCCTACATACAAACTTTCAAGTTGCAGGCCTTCAAAGATGCGTATGTACATTCACATGGCCAATCATGTAAAATAGTTCACGTGTCTGGCATACACTGCCATGCGCATGCATCCTCTACAAGTGGTTGTGCTTTTGTGTACTATACAGTACTATATAGAGTACAGTAGTACAGATCTTTATTTCAAGCCCAGGATGTTCACAAGCAAGTGAAACGCAGCAGTGATGTAGGTCGTACTACTAAGAAGCACCAAGTCATATCGATGGAAACAAAAGTGAAAATAATTGAGAAAGTGGAGTGAAGCAAAAAGATAGTAGACATCACTTGTTCTTTTTTTTTTTTTTTTTTGAGTTGGAGTTTCACTCTGTCGCCCAAACTGGAGTGCAGTGGCCGCTCCCGGCCACCGCAGCCTCGACCTGCTGGGCTCCGGCAATCCTTCCACCTCAGCCTTCCAAGTAGCTGGAACTACAGGCGCGCACTACCACACCCAGCTAATTTTTTGATTTCTTGTAGAGACGAGGTCTCACCAAGTTGCCCAGGCAGGTCTCGAACCCGCAGGCTCAGGCAATCCACTCACCTCAGCCTCCCAAGGCACGGGATCTCAGGCTGAGCCACCAAGCCCGGGTCTTATACCATGAATCGTTCAACCATCAGCACAATTCTAAAGAACAAGGACAAGATCATGGAACATGTGAAGTCTGCTGTGCTGATGACACAGACAATACTAAAGAAGTGTAAAAAAGTGATGGAGAAGATGGAGAAACTTTTCAGCATGTAAATGCAGGATCAGTATCAGTGTTCAATCTGCTCAGCTTAATACTGATTCAAGAGAGAGCTAAAAGCCTTTATGAAGATTCGAAGAAGAAACACAGAAAAGAATCAGAGGGTGCATCTTTTAATGTCAGTCATAGCTGATTTCATCAGTTCATGACAAGAGCCAACCTTCACAACGTAAAAGTGGCAAGGCAGTGAGTGCAGATATGAGAGCTACCCAGGTATTTCCTGAAATTTTCAAGAAACTATTGAAGGCGCGTATTTACCTGAGCAGGTTTGTAATGTGGATGAGACAGGACTGTACTGGAAGAGGATGCTAGACCGAAGTTCTATCAGGAAGGAGGAAAGGCTGATGCCAGGCTGTCAAGCAGCAAAGGACAGGCTAACTCTGTTGGTTGATGGCAATGCTTCTGGTGATCCGTGATGACACAAAGCTGAAGACCCTCCTTACAAGGTCAATTAGGTTCACAAACTCCTCCTAGAAAAAGTGCTGCAGACCTCACTGATGAATAGTACTACAGGCATCCTTGAGGTGCTCTCCTTGGCAAGCTATGCACTGATACCAGCACTTAGTCCACCCATCACAGCAATTTTGGAACTCTTGCTCTGGAATGGCCAGAGCTGTCATCATATTACCCTTGATGTCCTGAATGTCATCAAAATGTCTTCAGTACTTCCTTTATTTTTATTTGGGTAAATAAAAAAGTCACTGGGGGCCAGATCAGGTGAGAGGGAGGGTGATCCAATACAGTTATTTGTTTACTGGCTAAAAACTCCCTCACAGACAGTGCTGTGTGAGCTGGTGTATTGTCTGACACAAGAGCTCCTTTGGGACCTTTTTGCACACAACTTTCTCATGACAAGATTTTCAGTTATGATTTTCCTAATTGTTTCTCTATTGATGTTTACCTGATCTGCTGTGCTTCTCACTCAGCTGATGATTCTGACGCACAATTTGATGAATTTTTGCAATGCTTTCATCAGTTCTGCTTGTTACAGGCTGCCCTGGCTTCTCTTCATCGGTGATGCTTTCTCTCCCCACAGAAAAACATTCTATCCATCTGTACGCTGCCATTTCTTCATGGCATTATCCTCATAAACTTGAACTAACATGTCCCTGATTTCACTTCCACTTTTGCCAAGTTTAACAAGAAATTGAATGTTTGTTCATTGCTCTAATCAAGCTCTGACATTCTCGCCATGACACACAAAAACATGCAACAACAATAATGAATGCCATTCAGCAAGGCAGTATCACACGTCGACACAAACACAGCTGTGAGACACTGATATACCAAGGTTATGAAACCTTACCAAGTTGTTTGTACAGTGCTGCCAACATAAGTGCACAGTGGCAAGTTTGCAAACTTAATTGTCAGACCCCGTAGTTTATCATTCAGAGAACCCCAGAGCCCTTAAAAACAGCCAAGGGCTCTCTTTTGTGGAAGAGTAACCCCAAAGCCTGCGTTACACAGAGCATTTTCCAGGATTGTTTTTTGACCACTTTATCCCAGAATAGACAAATATTGCTTGGAGAAGGACATTACAATCAACACTCTTTTGCTGCTCTACAGTGCTCTGGGCCACCCCCCATTCACAGACAACTTTCATCCCATTGTCAAAGTAGTGCATCTGCCACCAAATACTACATCGTTCATCTAAACTATGGACCAGGAAGTTATAGTAACTTTCAAGAAATATTATTTATGTCACACTTTTTGTCAGGCAGAAAGGCAAGTGACAAACCAGGAACAGCCTTATGACAATTTTAGGAGTATAATATCTACAAGGCCATAAAAAATATTGACTTTGCTTGATATAAAGTTACAACTGCCCGCAGTTTGTTCACAATTTTCATGGATTTGAGAAAGTGGATGAGGAGCCCAGAGAGGTCTTCAACTACTCAGTGACCCTCATCGAGAAGCTGGAGCTGGATCTGGATCTGCAAGAGGACGACTTCACTGAACTCCTCACTTTGCAGCACGAGCAGCTTACTAATGAAGACCTGATGGAATTGGAGGCCCAGAGAAAGGGTGAAGAGAGACAAGAGGAAGAAGAAACAACTGAAGAGCCAAAGAGGCTCCTGATGCAGGAAATGGCAAGGGGATTTCCTTTATTTGAGGAGGCACTGCTAGTTTTCCAGGCACAGGGCCTGAATGCAGAACAGTACATGAGGGTGGCAGCAGTCGTTCAGAATGCAATCCAGTGCTGCCATGACATCTATGACGAGAAAAAAAGCGCTACTACCCAGACATCACTGAATAGTGCTTTCAAGAGTGGATAGAATTGAATCCAGCAAGGAACCAGAACCTGTGCCATCGACGTCAGGCATGAGTGAAGCTGAAGCTTGCCCTCCACCTCCTATTGCTGACCATCCTTCAGCTCCACCATCTCCCACCTTCTCTTCCTCCTCTAGTCAGAACTCTTCTTGCCTGTTCACTCGAGGCCAGCCCCTGTGTGCAGCTGTTGGTGTACTACTGTACTTTTCACGGTACTGTAAGACTTAAAATGTTTTCTTAATTTTTTTGTTTGTTTTTATGTATTATTTGTGTGAAAAGTATTATAAATCTATTATAATACTGTACTTTATAGCCCTTTGTGTTAGTTGGGTACCGAGGCTAGTTTCGTTGGACTTACAAACAAATTGGACTTATGAACATGTTCTCAGAACAGAACTCATTTGTATGCAGGGGATTTGTTGGACTACACTCTACTTTTCCTACTGATTACAACTAAAAGCCCACAACAAAACATAAAGCAACTACCTGAGAACTGTGAAAAGTGAACAAGAGCAGAAAACTGTAGAAGGGAGTGGAAACCTGGAGAAGTAACCCCTGAGGGAGGAAGCAGCCTGTATCTTTGCTTATCCTTTTCTTTCAATGTTTTGCCCCAGAACAGGCCCAGAAACGGAGAAGGAGAGTCAACACTTCCACTCGTTGGGGGGGTAGGTCCAGCTACTCAGGAATGCTGGGGCAGGACAGCCACTTGAGGCCGGAAGAGTGAGGCGGCAGTATGCTATCACGATGCCTGTGAACAGCTACTTCACTCCAGCCTGGGCAGCATGATGAGATCTGTCTCTAAAAATGCTTGAAACATAGTAAGGAAGAAACCTCTCACTAAACCACTGAGAAAAAGCCAGTCTTTCTGGCAGGGGAACTAGAGAGAGGGGCCTAGGCAAGTTAGAATATGGAGAAAAACTCGGAAAGAGGAACTCAGAAAGCGGACTCTTGTTCTAGTATGCATGAACCTGTACAAACCGGGCTCACCTTTACTGCTCAGGCACAGACAGGACAGACCAAAAGCAGCAGAGCAAAGGCTTGGAGAATGAAGCTCAGCTTAAAAATGCTACTGAAGGCTGGGTGTGGTGGTTGATGCCTGTAATTCCACACTTTGGGAGGCCGAGGTGAGAGGATTCCCTGAGCCTAGGGGCTCGAGACCAGCATAGGCAACTTGGTGAGACCTCATCTCTACAATAAATCAAAAAATTAGCCTGAAGTTCCACCTGCTTGAAGGCTGAGGTGGGAGGATCACCTGAGCCCAGCAGGTTGAGGTTGAGGTAGCCAGGACTGTGGTACTGCACTCCAGCCTAGGCCACAGAGTCAGACTCCGACTAAAAAACACACAAACAACCAACAAACTAAAGTCTTAGGCTAATCCCCCAGTGTCTCTCTACATGGACAAAAAAGGTCCAAAGCAACATAGCAAAAGTTTTTGAATGGAACTAAGATTTTACACTGCTGCCCACGTCTCAGACTAAGCTTTAAGTAGCACATGCACAAGGTAACTACACAGCAACACTGCTAAGGTTTTGAAAGCTGACCTGAGATTAGAACCACTGCCTATAGAGGTGAGAAAAAGCGGTGGCCTAAAACTAATTGGGCTGCTTTAATATCAACAACTTTGTCCAGAGGATTAAAATAGGATTAATATCCAGAGGTCTTGAACATAATCAAAAATTGCTGGACATACAAAAAACCAAAAAGTGTGACAGTCTCAAGAAAACAAGACAATCAACAGATGCCACTGCTGAGCTGACCCGGAGAGATTTTTTTTTTAAACTCTGCTCTGTGAGGCAAAACTAAAGGTAAACGTACAGGAGAAATTCTTATGAGAAAACCAAAGCACATTTTTTTAGAGAACTTTAAAATATCAGAAATGAACATTTCCCTAGATAGACTCAATCATAACATGGAGATAAAAAAAGAAACAGTGAATTTAAAGACTGATCAATAGGAGTTATCCAATCTGAAGAAAAAGGAGAAAAGGAACAGGGCCTCGGAAATCTAGAAAAGAAAGAAACTGGAATAAAAAACCACCTGAACAAATACTGGCTGAAAACTTCCCAAATTTGGCAAAAGATATAAATTTATAAATTCAAGAAGCTCAGTAAACCACACACAGGATAAACTAAAAGTATGCTGACATATGTCATAAATAAATTGCTGTTGAAAATGAAAGATAAAGAAAAATCATAAAATGATGCTCTTTACATAACATTCTGAAAAAGGCAGAAGTACTGGGACAGAAAATAGATGAGAGTTTGCCAAGGACTGTGGAGGGAGAGAACGTAAAGGAATCTGTGGTGTGCTCACACTATTCCTTATCGCGACTATGATGGCAATTATAAGACTATGCATTTTCCAAAATTCACAGAAATGTACAAGCAGAATTAATTACTACATATAAGCTACACATATAGTAATATATCTCTTGATATGAAGCAAGAAGTATATTATACCACCTACATAATATTCTTATCTGAATATTATCATTAGGAAGCCACCGGGCAAATCCAGAATGTGCCATACCAGATTGCTGACCTGCATTCTGAAGAAAAACCTTACAAAAATCAAAAAGGGTGAGGTTGAGGGCTCTAGATTCAAGGAAGCCAAAAAGATATAGCAACTAAATATATTGCATGAATCTTGTCTAGTTCCTTGATCTGAAAATAAAACAAAGAAACAATATTGGGGATCAACTGAGAAAATAAATATGGACTGCATATTAAGTTTTACTAATTAACATACTTCGCAAATATAATAATGGAATATCCTTATACTTAAGAGACACATGCCGAACTATTTAGGGACACTGAGTCGCAATTTTTGCAAGTTATTTTCTAAGGATTCAGAAAAAAATGTGAGTGTGGAGAGAAGGAGAAATAAACAAATGTGGCAAAATGTTAATAACTAGTGAATCTGAGAAAAAGGGAGAAATTATACTAGTCTAAAATCAAGCCTATACATAGTTACCTCCTTCATAATTTGAAATCTTGTAAGAACCTCTTCTTCAACACCTTTAATTTTACTCAAAGCATTTTCATGTCTGAAAAGCAGTTGTTCTCTCTCAAGTAAAAAATGTTCGCGCTTTTGAAGTTCTTCAGCAAATTTCTGTTGTGCTGCAGTTTCACACTGTATCAAAAACACCAGATTTTAATATTTTTGAAAAATATAGCCACAAATTCTGCAAATAACATTTGTATCTGTAGACACTGTGGTTTCATCAAGTGGTTTTCAGAAATCCAGGGATATCTAAGGAGAGTCTGGATTACATTAGCAGCTAGACAAGCACAGCAAGTAAACCTGCACAGAAGCTCAATCTCGTTACAAAAGGGTGACGCTATCCATGGTACAGGTCCATCGTGATGACTCAAGAGAATCTGGGGTCTAAAATGGGTCAGTACCACACAGAAGTAGCTCCCAGTGCAGCCCACTTCAGCTCCACGGTCCACTATCTCACATGCTTCCTCCACTCCTTTATCCTGCGGTCTGTGTGTTACCTTGGGTTGAAAGGCTCCAGCCCTGGACTAACGAGCTGTCTTCCCTGCCCTTGGGCTACACACAGCCGAATACACCGAAAAAAAATTCCACACCGTGAAAAGTGGCGCCACTGTGAGCTCAGGGTCTCAGTCCTCTGCCGGATTCTCAGGGTGGCCCAAAACCCTTTCACGTCTTCATGGTCAGCTCCCCACCTCCACCCCCAGAAGTCTTCAGTGTCGATCTGGACCTTCCCCTCTCCACTAATTCTGAATACATCACATTCTACACCGCTCTCTGCAGACAGCCTGGCCTCTGTTCACGGTAGAAGGAAACACCAACCTCCCGCTCACAAGACTCAAGTGCATACGCTTCTCCTCTCCTCCCTTACACAGACAGGCTCCAGGTGGCACGGCCTTGCACCTCTTGTGGAGATTCCATCGTTTTCAGTCTCTCCCGCCCAAAAAGAAGTCTTCTCGGGCCTCACCCACTCATCTCTTCCCCTCACCATCAGCGCCTTGAGACATCTACATTTGCTGAGCTCTCTCGGGACCTCCCAATCATCCCTTACTTCATTTTAATCTGGCTTCAGGCCACCCCCTACTGAAATGGCTTCCTTACTATTAAAGCCAAAGGTCGCTTTTCAGCCTCTCAGCAGCATTCACACTGCCATCCCTTTCCTCCAATTTAAAATACTCTTTTATTGGTGCCAGAGTACCTCACGCTCCCAGTTTTCCATCACTCTGGCCATGGCAGCTCAGCTTCTCTGCAGGCTCTGCTCCCTCTACTGTCCTCAATTACTAACATTTCTCAGGACTTGGTTTTGAGCCATTTTCCTTATTCTTTACACTATGAGTGGGGACTCAAAAATACCCCAGAATTTTTTTTAAATTGTATATTTATTCTTACATATTTAAACTTCAGTCACTTTCCAAGTACTCTCAGTCTGATACAATACACCTATCGAGATGCTTTTTCCACTGCTCAAAACAGTTTTTGAACTCGTCAATTTTGATGTCTTTTAGTACTTCTGCCATTTTTTTGTTTCACCTCTTCCACACCGGCAAAATGTTTCCCCTGAGGACTGTTTTCATCAGGGAAACAAAAAAAAAGTCACTTGGGGCAAGGTGGGGTGAATAGGGAAGGTGGGGCACAAGGGGTCATGCTGTCTTTGGTAAAAACTGCTGAACACTCAAGGTGGTATGGGCAGGTGCATTGTCATAGTGGAAGAACCAGCCATCCGTTAGCCACCACTCGGGATGTTTCTTCCCCAAATCATGATGCAATCTTCTCAAAACTTCCAGCTAAAAATTTTGTTGACCATATGATCCAGAAGAACAAATTCCGAGTGTACTACAAGGGGCCCACCCTACAAAGGATAATTCCAGTTTTTGGAGGGTCACCCCTTGTATTTCTGCTTGATCACATCTACTTAATGGCTACAATTACCAAGTACATGCTAATTGTTCCCAATGCACAACTGCTCATATCTTTTTCCTGGGCTCTGGAGTCAAGTTCAAACAGCCTATTTAACATCTCCACCTGTAAACTTTCAAGTATCACAAAATAATATGTCCAAAACTGAATCCAGTTAGCTACTGGGGAAATACAGAGCAAAACCACAATGAGATACACTTCACATCCACCAAGATGGCTAGAATAAAAACTACAGAAACTACATGTTGGCAAGGACATGAAAAAACTGGAAGCCTTGGACATTGCCAGTGGAAATATAAAATGGTGCAGTCACTTTGGAAAATAGTCTGTCAATTCCTCAAAAAGTTAAATATAGTTACCATATGACCCATAATCCCACTATAGATATACACCCAAGATAAATGGAAACCTATGCCCACACAAAAGGTAAACACAGATGTTCATAACAGCATCAGTCATAGTACCTAAAAAGTGGAAACAATCTAAAAGTCCATCAACTGAAGAATGAATTAACAAAAACTTAAATACTAATGGCCTACTGTTTACTGGAAAACTTAACCAGTAACATAAATAGCCAATTAACACATATTTTGTATATTGTATGCTGTATTTTTATAATAAAATAAGCTAGAGAAAAGAAAATGTCATTAAGAAAATCATAAAGAAGAGAAAATACATTTAAGGTACATATGCATTGATAGCATAAGTTTACAACATCTATTTACAATCTGAAGCGTCTGTCTGAAGTGGGGGTGAGGGGCTGGTTGGGGCAGCCGCAGCTGCAGACCTCAATCTGCAGTACACTCAAGCAACTCTACTTGTTTTTTAATGTCATGACTTTTCTCTGCTTCTGGAGAGCACTTCCAGCATCACTCCTGGCACTTCGTATGGGTCCCATAGGTGTTATTCAAGGTTTATGGTATTGTACTAAACATGATGAAAACCACAAGATCACTTTTTACCACTGTAAGCAATTTACTAGAGAGACTAACTGGTCATGAGGAAATGATAAGTTACACAGTATTTTAAATGGATACTTACAATGCTTGAGCTCACGGCAATGGCAACCAGAGGTGACGATTGTTTACAATTCTCTAGAATGCAAATAGTGCCATGCGTATGCTCTAAATGCACAAGTTTCAACAAATTTCACTCTGCCTTAAAAATCCGTAGAGTTACCTACTACATTCTCCTTGAATGAATATGTTAATTAATAATGCCTCCTATTAGACTGTCTAAGTCTAGAATGTACCATTTCGCTGGGTTAACCCATATTCACCTTTCAGGGTTTAACTTAAATGTTACTTTGGGCCAGGCACGGTGGCTTAGCCTGTAATCCCAGCACTTTGGGAGGCCGAGGCGAGAGGACTGCCTGAGCCCAGGGGTTCAAGACCAGCCTGGGCAAATTAGTGAGACCTGGGCAAACTGATGAGACAATAAATCACAAAAAACTGACCGGGTGTGGTGGCATGCATCTAGTTCCAGCTTCTTGGAAGGCTGAGGCAGAAGGATAGCCTAAGCCCAGCAGGTTGAGGTGGCCTGAGCATGCCACTGCACTCCAGCCTGGGCGACAAGAGATTCCAACTCAAAAAAAAAAAGTTACTTTTGTCATAAGAACCTTATACCTGACCTCCCCATCTCCTCCAATCAGGTATTCATGCTATACCTCTATTATTCTTCCATTTAAATTTAGACGATTATAACTATGTGGGTACTTATAATTTGTTCCTAATAAGTTACAAGGACTATATTTTTTTTTCCTTTTTTCTGAGTCAGGGTCTTACTCTGTTGCCCAGGCTGGAGTGCAGTGGCACAATCATGGCTCACTGCAACCTCTAAGTCCTGGGCTCCAGTGATCTTCTCACCTCAGCCTCCTGGGACTATAGGCATGCAACACCATGCCTGACTAATTTTTTATGTATTGTAGAGACAAAGTCTTACTCTGTTGCCCAGGATGGTCTCGAACTCCTTGCCTCAAGCAATTCTCCCACATCAGCCTTAGAAAGTGCTGGGATTACAGGTGTGAGCCACCATGCCTGGCTGATATTTTATTCACTTCTATACACTCAACACCGAGCACACAAGTGCACATTAACAGGTGCTCAAATATTTGCTGAATGAATAAAATCACAGTCTAACATGTATATGTTGATAATTCTAACACAACAGAGGACTACAATGTATACTTTTTATTGATCTGTCACAGTTGTAACAGTAGGGGTTATATGTAATATTTTGACATGTGTATATAATATGTAAAATCAAGGTAACTAAGCTATCCGTCTCCTCAAGCATGTAGCTCTTCTTTCTGTTAGGAATATTTGCAATTCAGCTCTTCTAGCTACTTTGAAATACATGATTAACTATAAACTGACAAAATTACATATAAGGTAGCCACAGTTTTCCTGCTATACTACCAAATACTAGAACTCACTCCTCCTACCTAACTGCATTTTCGCACCCCCTAACCAACTTCTCTTGTGCTCCTTCTGTCCCAGCCTCTCGTAGCCACCATTCCACTTTCTTTCTCCATGAGATCGAATCTTTTAGCTCCCATCCCACATGAGGGACAGAACATGCAGCACCCATCCTTCCGTGCCTGGCTTATTCCACTTAACAGAACGGTCTATAGAACGGTCCAGCCACATTGCTGCAACTGACAGGCGTTTAGAGCCGAACAGTGTCCCACTGTGTGTACAGATCATGGCATCTTTATCCATTCATCCAGTGACAGACACTTATGCCAATTCCCTACTCTATCCATTAGCATAACCATGTGAGTGCAGTTATCCCTTCAATATAATAACTGCCCTTCTTTTGGATATACATCCAGCAGTGGGACTGTCAGATCATACAGTATTTCCATTTTTAGCTTTTTAAGGAAACTCCGCATAACTTTCCATAATGGTCGTACTTACAAAATAAATTTTAAAGTCAGATTAAACTGTAGGTCGATGAAAGCACAATCTGTTGCACTTCATTTTTTTCTTACCAAATATTTATATCTTTATTGTGTTTGTGTAGATGATAGATATATCCTTGCAATTTTGCCTATTTTGTTTTATCCTATAAAGTGTAATCAAAGGATTCTTCCTAAAACACCATTTTTTTTACTCTGCCATTTCTATACTTAAAAACTCATAAAATAGTTGGCTAAGTTTTCATTTAGTTTTCCCCAGACAGACTGATAAACATGCAAGCCGACCCTCAATCCTCTCCAAAACACCTCTCTCATCTCCAATTTTGGGTACGTGGAACATCCCTCCCAATGCTCACCTCTCAGTCAAGGACTGACTATGTCTCTCCCTAAACTACTTTTCCCTGGTGATTTTAGGCTGAAATAATCTTTTGCTGAAATGCTATGATACTTATAATCTGAATTATTTTGACAAAATGAGATACTGATTTTTAAAGAATATTTAGCTATTTCATGTATATAGAATGTGTTTCAATGGGAAGAATTTTAAACAGAAATTGTGCAGAACATATACTTCTGCTTCCTTCACTACTCCTAGTGGATGCTTGACAAATATATAAATTGTACTCTAGAAACAAACAAATAAAAAAATTCAAAGATAAAAGTCAATGTTCAGAGTTAAACTTTGGAGAGAGTTGACAAGGGGACTTTTTACATGTAAGTGTGCAAACAACAACAAATCTGAAACACCTACTTCAAAAAGCACACTTGCCCCGTAGATTTCATTCCTTAAATAAGGATGGAATGGAAATAAATGTAAAACAGGAGACAGCCTGAAATCTAAGACACACAACTACAAATAAAACCCCACTGTTTGTACTTTCTCTCAGTCACTACAACTTTCTCCTCCTCAATAACTCCTATAGTTTAAGCTTGTTCCCTTCTGACCTTGCCTTGACTCACTTATCTAAAATAATTAAAATATCTCGTATTCAACTTCTGTAAACACTTGGTTCTTAGAACATAAATATTTCTGAGTTCTCAACCGAGTACTTAGTTCTTACCTGCAGTTTCAGATGAATTTGAAATAATTCATCATATATCTGACCAATGTGATGTGGAAGTAAACTCTGCTTGTCTGATGCTTTCGATTTTGGGGAGCTGATATGTTTCACAGGAGAGTCACTTGCATCACTGTAACATTCAGTCCGAAGTCTTGATGAGGCCAAATTAGTTGGAAGGGCAACTACAAGAAAAATAAAACTTGAATTATAAACTTTGTTAACTTACAGTTTTATTCTCAGACAGAATAATCTCATGGAAGAGCTGCTGTAAGTATGAGTCACAGTACTGTTAAAAAGCTTTAAGCGAGACAAAGAACAATACAGGAGTTGTTCTTTACTTTTTGTTTTTTGCTTTTCTGTAAGTCTGAAATTATTTCTAAATAAATTATCTTAAAGTGCATAAAAACGCGACTGTATCCACTGCCTAGGTTGAGAAACGAAGTCACCTCAGAAAACCCTAATCACATTCCCCACTCTCCCCTCAGCCAAATTAACCACGAATCCAAGTAAGTTTAATGGTTGACTTTTCTTTTTAATTCCCACCACTGACGTTTAAAAAGTCCTTGTTTTTGTGCCAGTTTTAAACTTTACATAATGTTTGTGATCATATAATTTCTCTAACTTCCTCCTTTATATGGGTTCACAAATATTCACTGCTTTACCCTATTTTATAAATACTACATATTTACATAACATCCTCCTCCTATGGACATGCAGGTGAGCTGCTTTGGCTAAGCAGATGAGACACAGTCTTGCACAGGCTTCTGGTGCACATGTTCAAGAGTTTTCTTAAGGCAAATAACTAGCAGCAAAACTGCTGGATCATAGAGTAAATGTATAGGTTCAGCTTTTCTAGTGATGCCAAATTTCTCCAAAGTGGCTATGCTTTGGATAAATCAGTTCCTCTTGCTTCAAGTCCTTGCCAACGTTGTACTGTCAGAATTTATTTTCTGTTAACAATAAGAGTATGAAATGAAATGCTCTCTCATGGTGGTTTTAGCTTGTGTTAGCCTCCTGGGAGTTCCAGCTTTAAGGAGAGAGTCTCCCTTTATGCTCTTCATCCTGAGCAGACCCTGGAGAAGCCCAAATTAAAAATAAGATGAATTTTGAAAAAGAAAAATGTTTCGCTTCACTCAGTTCAGCAAATGCCCTAGAAGCCAAAGACACATTCAGGGCTCTCTCTGCCTCTCCAGGTTTCCACTTCACCAATCCTACTTAGCCTGAGCATGCCTTACATTTGCCAACTTTCAAATACATGCAACACTTTCTATATAGCTTATTCTATGTTTTCAATAGAAAAATGGACCACATAGCAGGAAACACAAGTTCAGGCAGAATTACTTTTCATCTCCCTCAAATGATCAAGGAGACAAAGAGATGAGGAAAGGAGAAGGGGCGGTGAAGTGTTGTGTACAAACCAAGCATTCCCAGGAAGGAGAATGCACCGCGACCATCAATGGGACGACTCCGCGTCCTGCGCCAGGAGGGCAAGGTCACCACGTCAGGCTGCCTCTCTCCTTAACACTCTGAGGAAACGGTGACACACAGCCAGGCACATGGCAAGCTGCTGCGAGTTCAGTGCTGAGGAAGCCATACCTTAAATAACCTGAGTATTTTCTCAAAATATTAGCGTTGGCCAAATACCATCACAATCATTTACTCACTTTCCAACAAATACTGACTTGGAAAAAAACTAAAAACGTTCTTAGCTGAGTGTGATGGTTCACGCCTATAATCCCAGCATTCTGGGAGGCAGAGGCCAGACGACTGCCTGAGGAGAGGGGTTTGAGACCAACCTGGGTAACATGGCAACACCTCATCTACGCAGTAAATCAAAAAATCAGCTGGCCATGGTGGTGTACGGCTTTAGTTCCAGCTACTTGGAAGGCGGAAGCAGAAGGATCACCTGAACCCAACAGGTCAAGGCTGTGGTGGCCATGAGCGTGCCTCTGCCTTCCAGCCTGGGTGACAGAGTAAGACTGACTTGAAAAAAAAAAGACATTATTAAAAGTACTCAGTTGAGTATAACTTATTTTGAAATATTTTGAGGGTGGAGGAATATTACTGGAAAATAATAAAATTTAATTTTCTCTTCTCCTTTAGTTTAGTAACAAACACAGTAACTATCTCATGACTTATAAAAATTCAGAACAGAGAAATAAACAGACTCCTCAGGACCAAAGTTATTACTATGAGATAAACTTTATGTACTCTATTTGACAAAGTTACTATTTAGTTCATTGTTCTAATATAAATTCTTCTTTTACCTTTCTCTATTTCTTTAAAAGATTGCTTGGTTATTTTGGAGGTATTAACTCTATGATCATTCTCAATTAACTCTTCTTTTTCCCGTTTCTTCAAGTCATGAATAGTATCCAGTTCATCATCTAAGCTTTAAAAAAAAAAACAAAAAAACTATCACAGCAATCTAGTTCACTATAGCATTTTAAAAAGATAAAATTGCTTTTCAGATACTAACAGAACAATTAATAAAAAATGTAAACTTTTTTAAAATGCAAAAAGTAAACATGTGAAAAGTAAAAAATGTTAAAATAACAGTCACTGACCCTAATAAACCACTATAAGCATCTTTCTTAATGTAAAACTCTATACACCAGTAGAATGTTCTACAACTGCCAAACACTTTCTTTGGATGCCCAGTTATTGGGTGAAGTAGAAAACAGGTAGTTTTAGCAAAAAGAATAAATTAAATATGAGGTAACTGAACCTTAAAGAAGTCAAACAACTGACAGGTGATATAACTAGCAAAACGTGAAGCCGAATCCCGGGTACTCTCTCCAAAAAGTGTATTTCAGAGGTGGAATTTCTAGAGCAGTGCTATTCAAAAGGAATATAATGTAAATCACATAGGTAACTTAAAATTTCCTAGCAGCACATTAAAAAATACACAAATTTTAACAGTATATTTTATAGAACCCAGCATATCTAAAAGTTTAGGATTTCAACCTATAATCAACATCTAAAAAGTATTAGGCTATCTTACATCCTTTTATCCATGCTAAGTCTTCGAAATCCAGTGTGTATTTAACAGTTACAGTGTATCTCAATTTGTGGCTCCTGTGCTAGACAGCACAGTTCTATTCTACAGCATGACCAGGGATTGTGAAAAAATTGCCCTTAGTTATGAAAACTTTCGTGGTCCAAAATCTTCAGGGTATAATTGAGAATTATACCCGGATCATTTATAAAAACAAAAAATGATAAAATTCTCAGTGAAATATACGAAATTAATTTCCATAAATTTATCATTACTTAATTTTCACTTTCCTTATACTACATTCAGTCTGGCTCATGTCCAGATCTCTAATCTAGATCAACTAGATCATTTTATGAGTATCAAATGCAACAGCAACAGCAACAACAACAACAACAATAGCAGCTAACATTTGAGTGCTGTATTATATTCCCAGGACTGATCAAAGTGCTTTACTTGGATGAACTCATTTAAGTAGAGAGACAACTGTATTAAAAAATTCAAGTTCCTGAATATTAGTTACAATAACAATACACAGATCTTTTAGGCACAGTTGTCTTTCTTCTCCACGATTATAAACGTTTCATTTTATATACAGGTAACCTTTATCACTTCACACTATTTCAAAATATTTAGCCTTTCTCGATACCTGGAGCTTTTCCTTCCGCCACATACTTTTGGTACGAAATAGTACTCAACTTAAAACTTTATTTTGGGCCATTGCCTTGCTAGAGTCTGGTGTGGCCACGTGCTCTTTGAGCTATGGCTGTTGCCAAGCTTCCTGGCTTTGGCCCCCTCCCCTACCTTGGGGAGGTAAATCCCCTCTTTCTCTCTCTAATTTACTTCTAAATAAGCTATATTTTCTAATCTAACCTCTGCGCTTGCCTCTGAGTGTCAGCCCTTTCCAATCTGTGAAAGGTGAATAGTAAACTTTACTTCTTTCTACTTTCTTAAAAAATAAAAATCCATGAAACTTTATTTTACCTTGGCTTCCACTGTTTTTATCCAGTATATATTATCCAGTAAATATTATTTTCCCTACAGAACTGCAGCACTGTGTCGTACACATTTTACAGTTACTATCTCTCTAAAACTGTCTTCTTCAAACTTCATCTAAATAGAGTGCTTACCACACTACTAAACACAAGAGAAATACCAAGTTAAATGTCACTGCTTAACAAACCCATCTTACAGGTTTTCCTCAGTTTCTTTAAAAAAAAATGAATGGGATCAGGGACTTCATTCATGTTCTGGATGAAGTAAATAATCTAGTTTTCCATTACGCTACTAAACCTAATGCTAGGTCTGTGCTTTAATCATAGAGATACTCGCGAAAAATTATTGAGTGAGTCTCTTCAACTACGTAGCAGGCTTCACATTGCTTACATTTCTGCTCAGGGAAGAGCAAACCCACAGCCTGCCTTCTTCCCACCCTTGTTTTCTTGAGATACTAAGAGTGTAGCAACAGTAAGGATTCTTTTTTTTTTTTTTTTTTTTTTTTTTTAAATTTTAAAGACCTGGGGCACAAGTCAGGGCTGGGTGTACAAACGTTCATTATGCAGGTGCCCTTGTGGAGGAGGCGTGCCCTGCCCTCCCTGGCAGGTACCCCAACTGCCAGTCCCACCGCTCCTTCCCCTGGCAGTTTCCCCCAGCAACAGTAAGGACTCAGGGCCCTTTACCAATTCACGTTGAAGTGCTTGAGTGAACTGCACAATGGCATCCTACAATGCTTGCCGTCATCAGAATAACATCTTAATGATGAACCAACTTTGTCTCCAGATGAGTAGATATCCCAATCAACTGTCAACAAAAAAGGAAAACACCAAAGATTACATGCTAAGATCAGACGCCACCTCATTCCAGGTTCCTAAAGGTAGAAAAGCAAATTTATTCAATGAGTATTTTGTCTGTCTGTCTCCCTAGTGCAAACTACAGAAAACAGCATCAAACCTTACACTTATATAGCACTTTGCTGATTACATGATGCTTTTCCACCCATTACCTGATTTGATCCTAGCAATAATCCTGTGAAGTCAACAGAATAGGTGCCTTTAACCCTGTTCTACAGGTTAAAAACCTAAGGACCAAAAAACTCTGGTAAATTTTTCCAAGTAACATAGCTAGCTGGTTTGTTACCTGTACAGTCAGAATCCAGACTAAAATCTGGAGAATCCAGATTTTCTTTCTTCCTAATCATACTTCTTTGGTTCTCAAACATTTGTTTAATAAGGTTTTAGCCTATTTTGAAATTCAGTAAATAAATAGAAAAAAGAACAGATGGTGTCTTGTGACTAATCCAGCACTTTGGGAGATCGAGGTGGGTGAACTGCTTGAGCCCAGCCTGGGCAACATAGCAAGACCTTGTCTCTACAAGAAATAAAAAAAATTAGCCAGGTGTGGTGGCTCACACCTGTAGTCCAAGGCACTTGGGATGCTGTGGTGGAAGGACTGCCTGAGCCCAGGACTTTGAGGCTGCAGTGAACTATGAGTGTGCCAGTGCACTCCAACCTGGCCAAAAGAACCAGACTCAAAAAAAAAAAAAAAAGGAGGAGGAGGAAAGAAATAAAATGAAAAAAAAGGAAGGAACAAAAAGAACTTCTGTGACAAGAAATTTAGAAATACTTTTAAACATATGAACCCTGCTATAGCAGTCATTTTTTTTGTTGTTTGTTTGTTTTTTGAGTTGGAGTCTCACTCTGTCACCCAGACTGGAGTGCAGTGGCCGCTTCCACTTCCGGCCACTGCAACCTCGACCTGCTGGGCTCCGGCGATCCTTCCGCCTCAGCCTTCCAGGTAGCTGGAAGTACAGGCGTGGGCTACCACGCCCAGCTAGTTTTTGATTTATTGTAGAGACGAGGTCTCACCAAGTTGCCCGGGTGGGTCTCGAACCCGCAGACTCAGGCAATCCACTTGCCTCGGCCTCCCTGGGATTACAGGCTGAGCCACTGAGCCCGGCTAGCAGTCATTTTTACCCCCTCAGAAATTTTAATTTTAATTTAAGGTCTATACTTTTTAGTTATATTTTAAGGCAAATTTCAAACTACACTGAAATTTTAATTTAAGATTTTTTAAAGATATCAGACTGTAATCGCTGAATTTTTTTTCATATAGAAGCAATGATTCTGAAGAGTGTTTTACAAATCAACCATATCACAAAATAGCTTTGCTGATCCAATGAGCTGGTGTAACCCACCAAGGCAAATATCAAAAAATGATTCACACTTGACAAAAATTCAAAATGAAATAGTTTGAAAAACAGTGAAACTGCTTTATCAACCATCTGATGAAATTTTAAGGATACTACTATTTCTGCTGCAATTCTGCCCAAGTTTAATGATTAAACTTCCTAGTAAAGATATTACCTAAGAAGTACTGACAAATTAATAGGTTAATGGTTAACACACATTAACACAGCTGTACATGTTAGCTACAGATGACCACATGACATTATAGCTCACCCAATCTCACACTATAATTACCTTTTCAAGTACTGTATGTTTATTTGATAAAGTCCTCCTCTAGTGTAACAATTACTGTCCTAATAGCTTAGGGACGTTTATGCCTAAAAAAATAGCAATGAGCTTTCTTTACCCAATACGCTTAATGTCTATCATCTTCAGAGGCAAAAATACTGTAATTGAAAACATCAAAGTGCCTCATTCAGTTTGACTTTTGAAGCCATCCTACACATTTATCCCCCAAATTACGATGGCTACTAGTTTATTATCAGAATTTTAAAAGCGGGTACCGCACGGTATCTGGCACTAGCCAGAATCCGAAACAATACTTTCTGTCTCTCTCAAAGCTGCGAAAGCCCCCAAATACAGAAAATACCCTGCGGGCTTACCTGGAGCGGCTAGAGGCCGCCTCTCACCTGCTGCCTGGTCAAAGCCTGAAAACTCATACTAAAAGGCAAAAAAAAGACATTCCGTCTGTCTCCCAAGAGCCAGTCTTCCGCCTTAGCGGACGTCCCCACGCCCGCCGGACGCGGGCCCCCAAGGCTGGAGAGGAGGAAGCCGGCCGCGCCGCCGCCACCCAGGGTCAGAGCTGCC